CCCCAAAACCCCAAAACCCCAAAACCCCAAAACCCCTACCCAAACCCTCCTATTGAATAATTTTAGGTTAAGAGTACAGTTATTTTTTACAATGTTATTATTAATTAATTATCATACATTGTAGGAGATTTCCATTGGCCGGTCTAATTCTATAGAGATCCTGACAAGGTCAGAAATCATGAAGTTATCCATTCTAACTTTGTATCAGAATGGATGGAAGACACCTTTAGAAGTTCTCCTCCCCTAATTCTAGAGCTTAAGCAACTACTTCAGAACTCTTAAAGGTCCCGTTTAAGTGCAATTCGATGTGCTTCTTCAGATTACACTGCTGGGTAAATCCTTTGTTGCAGTATTGGCACACATGAGGTCTGATCTTAGTGTGAACTCTAGAGTGGATGATCAAGTTCCTGGTCTTTTTAAACTCTTTGCCACATCCATCATGAAGACAAACAAGGACTCTGCTAGTCCTTTTAGTCTTTGGGTTGTAAGTTTCTTTGGACTCGTACTTCAAATTTTGTTCTTTAAGTCTCTTCTCCTGAGTCTTCAGACGGACATCAGATTTGGCCTTCTTGGACATCTTCTCAACAGACTCAGAGTTGTCATAGTCCAAAGTGTTAGAGAACTTTCTCTTTTTGGTTCTATAAACACAGTTTAGTATGATGGTTCACCAAATAGAAAGCAAACAGAAAGGTTTCGCAACATCGAGCATCCAAATTTGGAACTCCCAAAAATATTTCGAGGATAACCAAATTCGGACGAAAAATGTAACTTTAAAAAAGAAGGAAAATGGCTTACCCTTCGTTAGAATTTTGATCATCTGTGTTATAGCTCGTGGCCAATTGATTTAAGGATGGTAACTGATCAGCAACTACTCCCATACAATCGTCATTATTCATGGCTGAATTGTACATTTGATAGCAAGCCATCATCATGTTGTCCCAATAGTATTTTGTTGGCCAAATCAACTCACGATTTACCATTGGTAGGTCGTACTTAGCAGTGAGAGTCTCAACTGTTAAATCAACCTCACAATGGCACATTTTCTTGCAGTCTTTAGCTTGTTCACCGATGTTAAGAATGGATTCACTCATATTCTAAATTTAAAGTTAATATCAATGGTTTAGTGAACTGTTTATTTCTGATTGACAAATCTTTATCATTTCTATCGACATCAATAGAGATTTATACAATTAAAGAAAGTCCTAAGTATCATAGCAGTTGTAAGATGATCTTGGCTATTCCAAGATTTATCCTACTGACCGATCAGACTTTATCCACTCAAAATGTTAGTTATAAATTTTGCTGAAAAGAGTGGAAATGCACAAAATGGTATATTCCTTCTGCTTGATTGTTACAATCTGTTAGTTGGCAAAAGTTGATTGCTCCAAGGCATTAAAGAATCATACATTGAGAATGTCCTAATCCCATGTTGAATTTGGGATCACCATAGTTTTTCTTTGCTTACCTTTATTTGTTACTTTAAAAAATTAATTATGACTTTTTTAACAAATTTTCTTAAGTTCTATTCTTTGTCCAGAATTTGGGGTTTTGGGGTTTTGGGGTTTTGGGGTTTTGGGGTTTTGGGG